CTCACTGCAAGTCTACCAAAATGGGTTGAAACATCTTCTCTAAGAACATTCTTTCTGCTGTTCAATTCTATAAATCCCAGCAGTGTTCTTTTCTTTTCAGCAGTTTATTAATGCTTGTAATTGCAAATGCTAGGCTTTGGTTCTCTTCCCTGCCTCAGTTTAAGACTGGAAAAATGTTAACCAAAGAAGATTGCCTTATAATATGAAGGCAGTGCTATATTGTTCATTTAAAATCTCTCCTAGCAGAACTTACTCGGAGGATTTCTGTTCTCAAGTGTCCTAATTTGTCCAAAATTCTTCCCTGGTCAACCTGTATTTTTAAATTGTAGTTGAAAATTTTGAGGGTTTATTACACCAAGTATTAATGAAGAGGAAATACCAGTCCCTGCTATTGGACTTCATACTGTTGTAATCAAATCAAGTGCCACTGAGTGAGGAACTCAAAAAGAGTTAAGACTGAAAGGACTTCTTAGACACAGGAAAGGCTGCAGTGCAGATTATCCAAGAAAGAATTAATTGGTTAAAGACTATTAGTTTTAGATTCTCTTGACAAAGCATTCCAGATAAGTAAATGTATTACCTTGGTGCATGCACTGGTTCCAGCACCTCTTGTTTATCATGATTTGAAGAAGCAGCATGGTGTTCACAATAACACCTCAGAGCTTCCCCAGTGACACTCTGGCCATGGATTGGTTCCATTTTTTGTAACATTTGGAGGTATTTCAGTTCACTTGGCTGTGCCTGCTGCAAAGCCTGTGGTGAGCAGGGCTGCCCTGTACCAGCTGCTAAGGAGAGAGAAGAACTTCTCTGGCATCCCAGGGCCAGCTCTCAAGAGAGGAGAGACTGACAGCTGCAGACTGCATCTCTACCGGTGTGTTAATGGAGTAAAGGACTCACAGTACCTACCTGCACTCCATCTGCAGTGGGACACACACACTATTACCATGAACAAAGAGATTAGTTAATTAAACAAATACGGTAGCTTAGTGAATTTGGATGGTTATCATCTTGAGGCCTAAGTGTGTAAATGCTATGGAATGCAGGGTTTGTTTTAAGCCATTACATGCTAAATAGCATTTTTCAGTAATGAACCTGTGGCAGATTTCAGTTTATACCTTTAGGGAAATTCTGTGCTATTTTGTGTCTGTGTATTTTGGCAGCGATTATTACACCTGCATGTAAATGATGTAAATCCCACCTGACCAAGGAAAGCATTGCAACTGCAAAGTGTTTGGCACTGTCCCATGTTACATCCTTGTCTCTTAATTGGAGAGACATGGCTTTGAGGATGGACCCTTGGGTGGATGAAGAACTGGCTGGGTGGCCCCGTGCAAAGAGCTGTGGTCAGTGGCTCATGGTCCACGTGGAGGCCAGTGACGAATGGGGTCAGTAGTGGGGCTGATGGTGTTCAACATCTTTGTCAGTGCCATGGGCAGTGGGGGCGAGGGCACTCCCAGCAAGTTTGCTGGCACCACTGAGCTGTGTGGTGCAGTCACACGTGGGAGGGAAGGGATGGATCCAGAGGGACCTGGACAGGCTGGAGAGGTGGGACTGTGTGAACCTGAGGAAATCCAACAAAGTAAAGTGCAAGTTTATGCTACAGTCTGCTATACCTTGGTCAGGGCACTCCCACACACACAGGTTGGGTGGAGAAGTGATTGAAAACAGCCTTGAGGAGAAAGACTTGGGTCATGGTTGATGAAAATCTCCCCATGAGCTGGCACTGAGTGCTCTCAGCCCAGAAATCAATTGTGTCCTGGGCTGTATCCAAAGGAGCGGGGAGAGGAGGGGATTCTCACCCTCTGCTCTGCTCTTGTTGGAGTCCTGCACACAGTTCTGGTATCCACAACATAAGAAGGACACGGAACTGTTGGAGCAAGTCCAAGGGATGCCATGAAGTTGATAAGAGGACTAGAGTGCCTCCTCTACAAAGACAGGCTTAGAAAGTTTGGGCTGCTCAGCCTGGAGAAGAAAAGGTGGTGTGGAGACCTCACAGCAACTTCTAGTCTGTGGAGGGTACTACAGGGAAGCTGAAAAGAGACTCTGCATCCAGAACCGTAATGATAGGGTGAGGAGTAATTGATACAAATTGAAAGAGAGTAACTTTAGGTTAGATATTACGAGGACTTTTTTATTTCTGTGAGCATTATGAGATGCTGGAACAAGTTACCCAGAGAAGCTGTAGCTGCCCCATCCCTGGAAGTGTTCAAGGCCAGGTTGGATATGGCCTTGAGCAACCTGGGATAGTGGAAGGTGTCCCTTCCCATGGCAGGGGAGTTGGGCTAGATGATCTTTAAGGTCCCTTCCAACCCTTTACATTTTATGATTGTGATACTGTGTTTCTGAACAGCAAATGTTGAGTGCTGCAGTAATTAACTTCTGTTGGCATGTGTGTTCCAGGCAAACAGATGCAATAGTTCTGCACCAGCACAGATATTGCATGCTGTAGGTTGAAGTTTGCAGCAAAGCATGTCTTGCATTCTTCCAGTAAAAGTGCTTTGTTAGTGTAGCCCTTGCATGTGAAGTGCTAAAGTAATAAGAATAGCATGTCTCAGTGAAAGATCCACCAGCTTATTTAATGTGCATGTTCTCAGTGAGAGATCTATAATAACAGGTTAATTTTACATTACAGTACTGAAGTGCAACAGAAAACACTTGGAAGTTGCACTGCAAATCATGCATTAATTGATGGTATCTTAAGCACAGCTAAACTAAACCTTAAAAATTGTCTGTTGCACAGAGGCACAGCACCTTTTCTAGCACAGCACCAGGGATTCTGGCTCTCCTGCTTCTAAATGGTGCACTACTAGAAATATTAATTAAAAATTCAAGGGAGAGGCTGCTTTTCTGCTCCAAGAAAATAAAGCTAGATATACTGGAGATGAGTAACTTGTAATTTGTGATTGTTTTGGCTTATTGTGTCAGCCCTCCCATGTTTCCTGCAATTAAAAGGGGATCTGGCTGTACCCAGCATGAAGAACCCCAGTGAACTTAGAGGCTTGTTGCTGCCTTCTGTGCAGTGCTGAAGTCTCCACTCTCAGGCTCTTTTAAACACCAGCTTCTGTGGAGCCAAAACCTCCCTGTGGAAAATTTCTCTGTAAAGTTGCAGCAGGCAGTCAGGCTCAGCATGACACTGTCCAAGCAGGAACTGAGAATCCCTGGTGCTGTTGGCCACCTTGTCCCTTCCTCAGCCTGGGGACCAGAGCACTGCTTGGCACCTGGGAGAGCCTGCTGGGCTTGGATTTCAGGAATGCCAAGGCCTCTCCAGCAGTGGCCTTCACACTCTGAACATGCACACTGTGTGCATTTGGCCTAGCAAAGCCCTCTGTCTTTTCATACATTATATTCTCCAACAGTGGAACTAGGGATGATTAACAAAGGTCTAACATGCATACAGGTTCGTCTGATTTGACCCCTGTTGGTCACATTTCACAAATACTAAGAATGCATTTGAGCACTAGAGCCTTTGAGTCAGCTAAAACAGAGGTAAAAGCAGCCAGCTCCCTCTTCACTGTGGTTCTGACTAATAGTACATGCAGAAAAATGAATAAATAAAATGCTGAAATGGAGGTGTATTTATAGAGATCCACTTATAGCCTTCATTCTATCCTTATATTAGCAGGCTGGTGTAAGAGCCAAAAGATGTGTGGGTCTAAGTCTATGCACAGTTGTTACAAACTGTCACTGCTGCTGCTCAGCTCTCCTGACATGTTTTCTTACTTTTATTTACTTGGGCTTTGTTAAATTCTTTCACTTGTAGCTGGTTGCATTACACAAACTTGCATCTCTGACACTATTTTTTGTACTATACCCTTGTTACTTGTCCTTTCAAGTTTTTTTGGAACATCACGTGAGCACTTGGGCCTATACACGCTTAGCTAAATCACCTTTTTTTTTAATGTAATCTACTCTATTTGTGGGGGACTTGCCCTTGCAGGAGCAGAGGGAAGACATGTGGAGGCAGGTGGCAAAGGGATCTCACTGCAGAGGAACTCCCTGCTAGTGGAGGCAGGGCCAGCCCCAAGCACAGCTGGGCACCTTTGGGGCAGCACAGGAATGCCTCTGGATTTGGTGTGGCTCCTTTGCAGGGAGCCTGCACTGACACACAGCCGGGTTCTCAGCCTGAGCAGAAGGTTTCCTGCTGCCCCAGCTCCAGTGCAGAGCTCTGTTGCACTTGATGGGATTGAAATTATTCCCTTTTCTTCATCCTTTAACTTAATTTTTAACTTTGTCAGCTTTCAGTGATGGTTTAGTTCCTGTGCTGATTTGTTAGAGAAGGTAATGTATGGCATGCATTTGAGAAAGTTGAGAATGGGGCATCAGGCCACATCTAGGAAGAGTGACTTCCACACTGTAGGTTCATCTCCCTTGGCACACAGCTTCCAACATCCTGCACTACTGGGAGAACACAGGAACATACTGCCAAGGGCGTGATAAAACACACAGGCACAGCAGCTGGAGTACTTGTGCAACAAAGCACCTTTCTTCACACCCATACTGGTTCTTCTGCTTGTACATAAACACTTTCTTCTTATGTGAGGTTCTCCATCAACACCAGGCTTCCTTTCCAAGCTGGACAGATGGGTTTTCCCCCACTGTGCAGTCACTGCCTCAGCACTGTGTGGAGAAAAGGGGTCAGCACTGAACAGCCCCTTTGCTGTGACAATAGGAAGCAGCTGCAGGGTCAGGCAGGGAGCAGCAGTCCAGGAAACCACAAGCAATCAGGCCAACACCAGGACGAAGCCCAGCTGTAGTTGGCAGTTCTGGAGAAAAGCAGTAGCTGGAACCAAGTGTGTCTCTCCAAATGTGTATGACTGGGATCTCCAGTGCCCATTCTTGCACTTCCAACTGTTTATGGTGTTGGGAAGGTGTTAACCTCCTGTCGTGTCTCTGGGAGCTGCCTCTTCTGCACGGGAGGTTCAGTGATGAATCCTTTTGATTGTTCTGTCTTCAAGAGGTTTGTAATAGAAGTGTTACATAGCTCCTCTTTGTTTTTTCAGAGTGAAAGAATTGAAAAAGGCCAAGGAACTTGAAGATACGCAGCAGCATCCCGTAGCAATGTGACATTGCTTTTCAGACTGTTTTCATTTTCTGTTTTTAGCAGAGACATGCAACAACAACAAAAATACCCACTGCAGTTCTGGAAATACCAGCTGCAGGATTTTAACAGTAATGTTTTGGTCATTGCATTTGCACTTTCATGGACAACTTTTAATTTGTTCAGCAAGACATCTTGGAACTCAATCTTCTGTTGGATCATGGGGAAAACAAGACACCGGGAGGAAATCGTGAGTTGCTTCATTCTCCGAGAAGGAAGGAAGAAGCGATTAATTATCCTTTTCATATAGGGCTGTATTAAACAACATGTGGAACTGTACAAATATTATACCAAAAATATTGTTCAGAAAAGGTGGGAATGCACAAGCAACACAAGAATGCTGTTCCTGCACCTGTCAGTCATCTCCAAGAAACTGAAGCTTTGAGAGTCTCAGTGGAGGGGCTTAGATCAGTACATCCTTATTGGGTCCATGCATCCTCATTTCCTTCGCACTCCTGTCCTTTGTGTTTTATTTAAACCTCTACAGCACACTTAATGCAACTTTTTAAATCTGCAGGTTTTTAATACATCCCGTGGGAACTTACTGGAGGGGTTTGGTGTATGAGAGACACGGGTATTGCATGAGGAATGGAGAGAGCAGCTTAAGCAAGTTTTACACTTTTTTTTTTTTTGTATTTTTACTAGAACCTGCAAACATATCAACTGTCATGTACTTTCTCTCATATTCAGCACTTTATTTTCTAGCCTTACCTTCATGTACTATTCTTTAATTAAGTTCTCAAATAATTTGTAAAACATGTAGCTTTTTCTCTTATGTACTTGTCAAACCTCTTGTCATTTTGCAGAGTCACGTACATATGTTGCCTGGACATTTTATGCCACCTAAAGATCAGTGGTGCTGCATTCTGGCCAGTAAATTTCTTATTTTGGCTACTTCATCAAAATCTGGGCAGTTTCTGTATATATAGAAGGTAGAAATGGAAAATGAGAAAAAATATTTGAAAGGGAATATATTGATTAATTACTAAATATTTTATTCACAAAGGGTCAATAACTTGGCAAGATAAAATTATTATTTGTATAGTTTTGTCTGAATGAACGAGGAGAGTGTGGATGTATTGTTTGTACATATTGTATATATTAAAGAGATATGTGCATGAACTCAAGAAAAAGAAATGAACAAAGCAAAGCATTAGTGGCTATGGTCTGTAAAATGAAACAAAAACTTTATTTCACTATAAGAAACTTTATTTTAAATGTTCTTTAGAAGAACATTTTTGCTAAAGCATGACTAAATGGCAAAAAAGAGCTACTGTATTTAGACTTAGGAAAAAAAGGCAGAGCAACATTACTTTAAAAAAAAAAAAAAAAGAAAAAAAGGATATGTTTACATTTGATTTTGGCTACCAGGAGTTTGGTTCAGTTGGGTTTAATTTATGTATTCCTTCCTTCTTTTTTTTTACCCCCGTCTTTTTTTTTTTTTCTTTTTTTTGCCAATGGTGCCAAGTAATGTGAATGCTAATATTGCTTAAGAAAATTAAGTTACTTTTGCAAAGCAGATAATCATAAGAGTACAAAAACCGTATCTAGCTTAACACCATACACTCACTCCAATAAAGAACACTTAGAATGAACATAAAATGAAAAAAAATAAATAAATAGTACGAAAGTAGAAAATATGTTTCACATTTTCATATCTCCTGCTGGAAGTCAGAAAATGTAATAAAAATTGCACAAAAAATTTTAAAAAATTAAGTAAAACTTAAAAAAAAGATGCAAACTGATCCTGTAGGGGTGTCATGGTATATTGCTATTTCCACATAGTGAGGAGCCAAAGAAATTAGATTTTTTTTAAATTGAACTACTAATTTAAAACTGTCACAGATTCTCAACAATGGGAACCAGTTCTGATCTTCATTACACAGGAATGTAAGGGAAGAAACTCCTAAAGTCCGTGTCATTACTTGTGGGTCACGTACATGTGTCTGAGATCAGAAACTGCTCCTGTCTGTTTGTCTCACTTGTGGCAGTTTAAAATTTCTGAATGAACTTGTGTAAATTTGAGATTGTTAGTTTTGGAATAGTTGTTCTTGCTTGATCCCGGCCACCAACTGCAATGTTTAAACGCAAGGCTTGTTGTGAAGCCAAAAAATACTCACACATAGGAAGCTTTGAAACTGGTGTCTTTAAAAGAAGAGTAAAAACAAAGATTGTGGCAAAAAAACTGGGGTCAGTGCTCTTGGTGCCTTTTCTATAATTGTACCTGTTTTTAATTACTTCTTTTCACTGCCAGCATTGAATTACAGTAGATGTGCTATAGCTCATTATCAGAATTCTCTTGTACATTTCTGAACTGCTGCTTTATGACCTGATTCAATTTTAAAAAAAGGGAAAAAAAGTGAAACAAATGGCCTGGCGCTCGCACCGTGCCTGTGGGCAGCCTCATAGCCTCGATTCACTGTCTGCAATTGGAACCTTAACCATTCAATTTTCCTCTCACGCCAAAACAGAACAGGAGACGCTGGAGAATCTCCTTTGAAATGAATTGGAAATGCTCTGTATTAGTACTGGAAGAACTCTTGACATTTTGAAACTGAAATATTGCACCCATTAACCAATACGTGACAATATAGAATTGATCTGTTCCTAACAAGAGTAGTGACCTCAGTGGAAATGTTTTAACTCCTTGTCTCTACAGAAAACGATTCAGTAATATACAGAGCTATTTCAAATTACTCTTCCAGATCCATGGGCCTGGTGGTGTATCTACTAATCTAGATCCTGCTTCAGCCAAACGTTTAAGCCTGTGCTGGCTGTGAAACATGCAGGCAGTTCTGCAGGGCAGCTCCAGGACTCCTGGCATGCTTGAAGCCAGTTCAGCTCCCAAGTGCTTTGTTGTGTCGGGCCGTAACCCTTCAGTGTGTCACTGGGGAGGGAGGAGCACTCCCCCGCAGTGAAGTGATTCTTCAAACCCTCTTCTTGGTTGTGGAACTTAACATTTTCACCTAAGATAAGTAAGTGCAGCTTTCTAGGAAAATTCAAATTCCCAAGTGCCAGGAGCCAGGTCTTCTGTCTTCTGATAATAGAATTGCTCCTTTGTGAAACACATTCGACAGCAGTAATACTGTGTGAAAGAAATACAGAATATAACATGAACCCCCTCTCTGGTTGCACGCTTATGGCAGTTCCACACAATAGCTGGTGCCCAATGGGGGGTCCCCAAGACTTGCATGTAAAACTAGTATAGATGTCTTCTCTTTTGTAAGTTTTATTTTTGTAACTGTGCATGTAAAGCATCACTGAATCAATGGATCTGTTGAAGAACTCAGCTGCTGGAACCATGCAAAATGTTTTGAATTGCCCTTAAAATATGGAAAATGTTTTCTGAATGCTTTATATTCTTTCTGCTGTAAATTAAAAAAGAAAATTTCCCCATATAAAGTGTGTGCCTTCTTCTGAACACATCTGGTCCATTCTACTTTGAGAGCAAAGTAGTCCTTTAGTCGCTCTAAGGAGCCACCATAAAAACCAAAAAGTTTCTGCTCTATATGACCTTCTTGTAACAATATTACATCTGATTTCTTACAGGTTATGGTGTGACAGTCCACAGACTGCCCGTGAGCAGGTGCAGCCCCCAGAGCTTTGTTTGCAATTCCTTTTCATTGGACAATCACTTCTAGGGTTTTTTGTGGGAAACCATATAGATAGAGCTGGTAGCAAAATTCTTAATCCTACAGTGTGCACAAAGCAGAGTCAAATGGCAGAATTCAAGAGGGCTGCTGAGGCAGAAACCTAAGAGGTCACAATAATACAATTAACTGAGACACAATCACTATTGCACTAATCAAATATGTAACTTACATGAACTGGTATTCAAGAACAAAACTTGTAGCAGACTACATGGCCAGCCTAGCAGGCAAAACCTGAAACCAGGTTTAATAAATTAATCATCTGGTCTAGCAGAGACTGTGTTAGTACCATTATGAGTAAGCTCTTCCAAAACCCAGCTCCACAACTGATGACAAGATTTCATTCAGAGAGTTTCTTCTTGACTGCAGAGAAAGTTCTTTTAGAATAAATCAGCGTTTAACTCTCCAAATTGCTCTCCCATTTTTCCATTTTACATGGCTGTTAATTGCTGGGTTCATTGCAGTCGTGGCGAGTTGACCCAGTCCTGAAAGAAGGCACCTCCTCCCTTTTCCCCGGGGCATGGCAGGAGAGAACTGGAAGACTAAACACGAGGGAAAAAAATGCCTGGGGTGAGATAAGTTTAATAAGGGGAAAGAAAAAAAAAGATAACTCAGAACATGGGATGCAAAGGCAGCCAGTGCCTCCCTCTCGCCAGTGCCTTGCGGAGCCCGATGCTCCCTTGGCGGAGCAGCCCCGGGGTTCCCAGGGGAGCACGGCCAGCAGCACCGACCCCGGGCGTGTGACCAGCCCCGCTCTGGTCACCGACAGCACCGAGCGGGTGCCGGGGAGCATCGGCTCCAGCCCCGCCGGGACCCGGGGCAGCGAGCGCGGGGGTCCCGCCGGGCGCCCCTGGAGCCAGGGCGGGGAACAAGGGCGGGGGAGTGGGACAGGGACAAGGACAGGGACAAGGACAGGGACAAGGACACTCCCGGCCCCCTCGGGCGCTGCACGGAGTGCACGGACACGCATAACACCACGAAATGCACATGTCTGCGTCTGTGTGTCCGTGTGCGTGTCAGTGAGTCTGTGTGTGTGCCCGTGTGTCTGTCCGTGTGTCTGTGTGTATGCCCATGTCTGTCTGCCCGTGTGTCCGTGTGTGTCTGTGTGTGTCCATGTCTGTCTGTCCCTGTGTCCATGTGTGTCTGTCCGTGTGTCTGTGTGTGTCTTGTCCGTGTGTCTGTGTGTCCATGTCTGTCTGTCCGTGTGTCTGTGTCTCCATGTCTGTCTGTCCGTGTGTCTGTCTGTCCATGTCTGTCTGTCCGTGTGTCCGTGCTCGGCCGCTCGCCCCGTTCCGTTGTTCCCGTTCCCGTCACCGCCCGGGGCGGGCAGAGCCGGCACAGCGCCCCCCAGCGGCCTGCGGGGGCACGGCCATGGTCTGGCCGAGGCCCAGGCCCCGGCCCGGGGCCGCCCCGGCCGCGCCCCCGAGCCCCGGCCCGGCCCCCGCCCTGAGCCCGCCCAGCCCCCGGCCTGAGTCCCCGCCCCAAGCCCATCCCGGGCCCGGCCCTCGCCTATCGCCCCCGCCCCGAGCCCGCCCCGGGCCCGGCCTTCGCCCATCGGGCCCGCCCCGAGCCCGGCCCGCGCTCCGCCCCGTGAGTCGTCAGCGCGGGGCGCCGCGCGCAGTTCCCGCTGGACCTGCCCGGGCGCTGCTGTCGCGGCCCCGTTTTCGTCCCGCCGCCAGGATGTGAGTGCGGGGCGAACGGGGGGAGCCGGGGAGCGGCGCGGGCGCGGCGGCGGCGGGAGCAGGGCCCGGCCCGGCCCGGCCCGGCCCGGCCCACGGGCGGGGGCTCCGGGAGGGGCTGCGCGGAGGGGCGGGCGCGGCCGGGGGCAGAGGCGAGGCCCGGCCCGGCCGTGCTTTGGGCCGCCGGGACCGGGACGCTGGGCTGGGCTGCGCAGGCCTGGCTGTCCCGCCAGCCCCGGGCGCGTCTCAGAGCGGGACCCGCCCTGCCGGGACAGCGCCTGCTGGGCACCCGGGCGTTGCTCTGTTCGGAACCTCGCAGGAAGCGGTGTCATTTCCGAGGCTGTTCACCTGGGACTGGCACTGAAGCAGCACCAAAGGGTGGCGGCAGCACCAAAACAGTGAGACTGTGCTGTCCAGGGCCGGCTCTGAGCTTTGCACTTGGCTCCCCCGTTGTGCCTGTACTCTTTACGTGCAAGTTAGAAGCCAGTGTACAAATGTGTAAATACAGGAAACGGTCAGACTTGGCTGTTTGGACTGCCAGGATACACTAAACAAGCATCCGATGTGAAAGAAGTAAGAATATGGAAAAGGACACTGCGTGCAGATAGTTCTAGAGATATGCATTAAAAACCTGGCCAGGTGGTGAAAAGGTAATGAGGAGTATGTGCAGAACCTCTTGCATCCGTCATAAAGATGCAGAATGCTGTAGCTGGTAAAATGAACTCTTATGAATTCAAAGCTGACCAAAAAAGTAAATTCTTGTCGTTTCCAAATACTTTTTCTTTCTGGTGCTTTCTCTTGCTCCATATCAACCATTTCAAAAGAATAGAGAAGCATCACTGGAAAATCATAGTTAGAAAAATTATTAAGTTTTTGTATTTAATTTTTTGTAAACTACTGTTGCTTGAAACTGTTGTGTTCATATGGGAAAGTAGGAACACACCTGAGCCCAAACTTTTCATTCTCTGAGCCCTGTGGACCATTGTTGGAGCTGTCCCCTGCCTCATTGCAAAGTGTGGTGTTAGCAAGCCACTGCTGCTCTTAGCATAGCAAGCAATTTGTTGACAAGATGTTTGGGACACTGCATGACTTGCACCCATTGTCAGTTGTTAAAGCACCATTTCTCCAGTAAGGAACTGCCCTGTATTTATTACAAGGATACAAGTTCCCAGTTTTCAGGACTGTCAGATGTATAATGATGCCTTTCTTTACTGCAGGTCAGCCAATGTCTCTGGAAGTGCAAATATGGCTGCGGGCAATCGCCGGCTTCAGCAAACTCAACACCAAGTAGATGAGGTAAAAGGCTGGTCTGATAGTAGTGTCATCCTCTTCCTGCAGGAAACATGCAATTAGAAGGGATATTTTTGCCAAAGCAGTTTTTCCTTCATTATATGAAGGGGAAGCAGAGAGAGGTTCCAGTGTCCAAACGTTAGCTCCAGTCTTGGTGCTTGAGGATTTGGCATAAATAAAGACAGAAACCTTTGTTTACAGAGAGCAAGCTTTTTTCTTATCAGTAGTCATGAGAGCTGACTAGCAAATGTGATTTTTGTGGAGTCCAAAAGCCAGGCTGGCTGGCAAGTATTTCTTGACGTGGTTTACTGTCATGTTTATATTCCTCAACTCCCTCTGAAGCAAGTCAGGAATTATTTCCCATGTTTGAAGGAATGCCAACACTACTGACTTTTTGAGGTAGGCTTCAGGGCTTCTAGCCACAGGTGGATTTCACAGTTTTCTTTAATCTTACAGCTGCATATACTAAAAGGCAATAGCTGCTTCTTCTGCAAAAACATTGAGTACCTCGTGGTGCTGTCTGTTGGCTGTGATTATGTTCCACTGTGTGGTCACTTACTTTAAACATTGAACTGCTGCAGGTTGTTGACATCATGAGAGTGAATGTGGACAAGGTATTGGAGCGAGATCAGAAGCTGTCAGAGCTGGATGACCGTGCTGATGCCCTGCAAGCAGGGGCTTCCCAGTTTGAGACCAGCGCGGCCAAGCTGAAGAGGAAGTATTGGTGGAAGAACTGCAAGGTAACTTTGGCTTGTGTGCTTGCACTGTGCCTGTACCACTATTACAGTTCGTGTGTCAAAAGGCAGAAATAGTTTAGCCAGTGTTACTTAAGTCACAGCATCTAGTTTTTAAAGCATGGCACAGTGGCTGGGTGAAGTAACAGCAAGCTGCATTACTGGCCATGCTGCCCTATGCAAGATCTAGATAAGATAATGGCCAGAGGGGAAGCATGTCAGTAATCTGAGGCTTTGAGAAACAGGAAGAAAAGGCTAAAAATTCATAGCTTGAATGAATGTGTAGGAAGTATTAGAAAGTGAAAGAAGCTCACTCAGACTCCTGTACTGCAGCTGTTGCCAAAAGTTGGAATCATCTTTAGTGAGTAACAGAACAGCTTGTGCATTCACTTGGGACAGGCTTTATGTGGAGAAAACCATATTGCTGTGTTTGCCTGTGTGCATGGCCTGCCATCTCTGAGTGCTAGTAGTGGATTGAGCTTGCTGACTGAAGAACCTTTGCTTGCCACGTTAGATCTGACAAACAGTGCTAAAAGTCCCTTGCAGGGTCTGTTTTCCTGTACCCTGAGGGGCACTTGGTGCTGTTGCATGGTGTGTAGTAAGTGTTGTATGGCTTTTTTTCACAGATGTGGGCAATATTGATAGCTGTTGTTGTCATTATCATCATCATCATTATTGGTAAGTTTGACCAAAATGGGGATTTCTCCTAGATTTGGAATGGATGGTGTTAATTTGCTGACTGGTGCAGTGTTAGCAAAGGCAGGATACTCAGATGGAAATAGACCCAATTTGAATGAATTTGAAATAGCAGTGATGGATTTAACAATTGCATGCAGTGATTGGCAAACTGTGATAACATGGGAACTTCAGTACCTGAATCTCAACCGTGAGTGAGGGTGACAGAGGTGAAAGTGAAAATAGCAAGGACTTTGAAACCAGGAACTGACTTGGGGTTTTTTTACAGCTTTGTTGCGGAAGTGTAACATGAGATTCCACACACTGTCCTTGTCTGAAAACTGTTACCATCTGCCTTGGCTTCCTGCTTTTTTGTGGCAGTTATGATGCACTGCCATACCAGGGAAGCTTTGAGTAGAGTTTTGGCTGCTGAGTGAATTGAGAGACTAATGCTGGGCTAGGATAGAGAGCCAGGGAATGTTTGGTTCAGTCTTTGAGTTCTCAGGTAATTGCTAAGTGTTTAAAGAGAAGACAAAGTTTTAAGTTTGTGCTGTAACGGTAACAAACACAGCAGTAACCACGGACATCGGAGAGATAGTCCTGGTGTGCAAGCACAAGGGAAAAATACAATAAAGAAAATCTACATGGGCAAGATTTAAGAGAGATTTATCTCTATTATCCTAAATTCTTAAAGTGCGGGATTGTTATGCTGAGGGGCTGAAGGACATCGTCCAACCTTTTTCTTCTTTTTGTAGTCTGGAATCTGTCTTCATGATTTACAAGAAGAAACTCAGTTCAACCGAAGGTGCCTTTGAGAAACTTCTTCAGCCTCTGCACTCCAAACCTACTGTCTTCTCAGCCCATTTACTGCTGTTTAAAGCAAACCTGTTTTGATTACCGAGGTGTTAACTAACTTTACTGGTCGCCTTAAGACACTCCTGTCATTAATTACTAACCAGCGCAGCTCACAACTCGCACAGTGCCTCAATGACCCGGGGCGGGCCCCGCCCCTCCCGGCCCCGCCCCTCGCCCGACCACGCCCAGGGGCGGGGCCGGCCCCGCACGTGGCGGCGGGGCATGCGCGCGCACGGGGGCCGCGTGCGGCGCCGCGTGAGGGGCGGGGCGGCGCCCCCGCCCGCCGAGGCCCCGCCCCCCGCGCGCGGTGTCCTCCAATAAAGCGGCTCCGACCCCGCCTCCGCCTCCTCCTCTGTCCGCGGGGCGCGGCGCACGTGGCGCGGGTGTGTGGGAGCGGGGCCGCCGCGTGCGCCGCGTTACGTAACGGCGCGGGGCGGGGGCGCGGCCCCTCAGGGCGCTCCCGGCCCGGAGCGGGGACAGCCCGGGGTCGGCGGGAGAGGCGCGGCCTCGGAGGGGCGGGAAGGCGAAGCGGAGGCCGCCGGGGCCCTTGGCGGGGCGTCCGCGCTGTCTGGCAGCTGCGAGCTGAGGGGGAGCAGCAAGGAAGCGGCCCCGGTGATCGCTCGGCTCGGCGGAGAGGGGGGCTCCGCTCCTCCCATCGTCCCGTGAGGCGGCGCGTGCTCTTCCCTGCAGCACCGGCGCCCGTAGCGCAGGCCCAGGGTCCGGCCGCGCCGAGGAACCGTGGCAGCCGATGCCCCCCGTGCCGTGGTGCTCAGCGGATCCGGGATGGACGCGAGCGAGCGCCGAGGAGGCAGCGCGGAGCACGGCGCGGCTCGGGCCGCGGCCGCCTGGGCAGGGGCCGGGCGGGAGGCGGCGGCGGCGGCGCCCAGGGGGGCTGCGGGCGCTCGGTGCGCGGCGTGCGCGGGAAGCGGCTCCGCGCCCGGCGGGACCGAGCTGCACAGCCCCGAGTCCAGCGGCGGCTCGGCCGCCGAAAAAGCCAACAGGTACCCGGGCAGCGCGCGGGGATGTGCTCGGCGGGGGCGGGCGAGGGGCGGGACCCGGGGCGCTGCTCGGGCCCGGGGACCGCGGGGGTCACGGGCCGCGGCGTGTGCCGGTGCGGTGAGCGCGGGGCTGCTCGCGGCTCCGGTCAGCTGTGCCTCATGCTGAGATCCCCTGAGCCGCGCACGTCAGCGACCCTTGGGTACCTTAGATGTGTGCTTCAGCTAGAGGCTGTTTAGTACCAAAGCAGAAATGACTGAGATAACATTTTCCGTCAGAGTTCAGAAATTGAGTAGTTTATTTTTTTAATTTAAAAAAAGGTTCAATAGCTGTAACGTGTGCAGCCTTAAACAGGCACGTAAAGTTACCACGCAATACTTACACTTATGTAATGGTTTATGTAGTAAGAGTACATACAATACTAATGACAGTGTCAACTGGAAAAACGTTACTAAAAAAATGGTGTTCATATCTCACTTGTAGGATTAGAATCTGTGATTTGAGGATATTGACCGCTTCTTTTTTAGTCAGTGAAATAAGCAAACATAAGGAGAGGGGGGTTTTATCTTTTAACAGTTCTGCAGCTGTTGAAGTCAACAGCTAAAATGTATGATGAAGACTCTGAAGTCACAAGGAGTAAAATCTTTGTGTCAGGTGTATTTTGAGAACCTCATGGTTCCCTGAGATGCATATAACCAGATGTGGCCTTCAAGGCTAGAAAAACTTAGATCAAGAATCAGCATTTATTGATTATTTTAATACCTGTGATATTTTGAAAATCTAGAGTAAACATTATCTTATTTTGAATTGCTAGGCATCTTAGCAAGCAGAGTGGTTTTGATGTGACTTTGCTGTTCGGGACACTGGAGCTGGGAAGGAGGAAGGTAGAGGAGAAAAGCTTCAATTGCAAAGAAGTGAGAAAGATACAACAGGAAATTTAGTTAATGAACGTTAGGAGATCCTGGGTATTGCATGACTGCAGCCATTCCCATAAAACGTTAATTTAGGAAGTAATTTTAATTGGGTGATAGGAAAAAGATCTCCTACACCAGAATTCTCTGGTAAAGTTTAACCTCTGTTTCACAGTGAGCAGCTGAATTGGAGCCAGTCCCACAAAGATATGATGATGATGATCCAAGAAATGAAAAGGTGTTTACCTGAAGAGAAAAGGAGTTCTAATAAGCCCAGTACCATCAGTGCTCTCAACTACGCCTTGCAATGTGTCCAGCAGGTCCAAGGTACGTGTGGAGACAATCTGGAAGAACAGCAGCATAATTTGCATAGATGTGTCTGGCAACAAGTAGCATTAAAAGAATGCATTCCAGTTATCCTGCAAAGAGTTAACTTTCTGAGGCACTATGATTTTGTTGCCAGTTTTTTGGTTTAACAGCCCCTTCTGTTGAGATACTCCCCCACTGCTTCTCTTTTTTGCAGAGTCCCATAGCTAAGAAATGCCTAATAGTAACTTTCTATGTATACTGAGAAAATGGTATTCCCATCCCAGTTTGAAAAATTATTTGTTAGTTTGTGTTTTCCCACAGAACTAAATAGCTAAAATTGTAATACTTATTCATGCTTGTTTTCTGTAATAAAATGAGATTACTCCAGTAGTATAATTGGTATTCCTTTTCCCTTTGTCACTACACAGACCTTCTCATCTCACCTTGGACTTCACCAAAAAGATGACAAAAGTACAAGGGCTGTAAGAATTACTTTCAAAGTAGTCTGTTTACTGACTTCCTTGTCTTTGTTTTGCTTTTTCTGTTTTGTTTTTTTTTTTTTTTTTCAATTAGCAAACAATGACTTTTTCCAGGCTCTGAATGACCGAAGAGCATTTCAGACAGATATGGTGACATACAGCATAGAAGAGTTGGTGGCAGTTGCATCTGAACACACTCCAAAAAACACTGTAAGAATTCAGGCACACTTCAGGATTTCATTCAATTTCACTGTATTTAGTCTCCTAACATTGTTTTGTGGAAATAGAATGTGTAAAATTGAAAGGCCTTTACATTTTAGCCAGGTAGACTTTCAAGTTTTTAAAGATGAATCAAGATTACATCTTATCTGTGCTATGTTAGTATCCAGTGATAGTGAGTGAAGAAATACTAATTTATTCTTTTTCTTGGCCAGAAGCAAGAAATAACTGTTTGAGAAGTCATTTACAGCAGCATAATCTCTTAAGACAGCAGAAGGCTTTTAAAACAAATCAGATCTATAGTTGTGAGGGACTTTTGGTTTCTATTTGTACTCTGCATTTAATTTTTTTCTTGTTTTGCAATATGTGTCATGCTTTCTGGCTCTCCTTTAAAGAAACATTTCTTGAAATTCAGTACTGTTGGATACTGTAGCAAAATATTGCTAATGCTTGAACAGTACAAAAAATACTGGAAAGCTTTCAGAATGTTTTTGTGTGTGGAATTGTGATGAATCCTCTGAAACTTGTGGAGGAGTGTGTGGGGTGATAACCAATCATTCAGAGCAAAGACAAGCATTAATCTGTTTAGAGAAGACTAATCCAGTCTTACTAGCATTTGTAAATCTTGAGTACGCTGCTGTAGCACTGGGCAGTGTAGTAGATCACACACTACCCAACACATTTTTGAACCTCAGCCTGAGGTTGTGCTTTGGGGTTGGTTTGTTTTGGGGTTGTTTTGCTTGTTATCCTCTGTTATCACTACCATGTTTCAGGCAATGATTGCCTTTAATGCTTATTTTCCAGGACACATTTGTGGCTGTGTTTTCTTTGCTGTCTGGACGCATAGTTCATATTTCTGAGCAGGCAGCATCTATTTTGAACTGTAAGAAGAAAGTGTTGGACTCTTCCCGGTTTGTGGAGTTGCTTGTCCCTCAGGATGTGAGTGTGTTCTACACTCACACTGATCAGTCTCACCTGCCCCTTTGGAACATGGAAAGTCAAACAGGTGGGACATGGCTCTTTAAAGTCTGTGCAGAATGAGGACAGAGTAGTAGTTCATTTTAAATGCTTATGCTAGCAATATGCATCAGCCTCATTTGTTCCCTTCCACTTTGAAAACTGGAGTGGCTGTGGGACCAGTCCCAGCTAGCTAGCTTACCCCTAAAGGCTTGACTCCTACTGAGGGTAAATAAAAGATGCATACTTCATTGTTTCATGTATTATCTTGCTCATTCCAAATACTGCTGCTTTTTGAAAAGAAACATAAGTCTGGTTGTGGGTTTAAAGTTGTTTAATCTACACCTTATGGTTGCTTAAGTGCTTTGTCTTTATGGTCTGCTCACTGCCCGCTGTGACCACAGCTCATCAAACCCAAGTTTTAAGCTGATTTGCTGTTTATTGCTGGATGTGTCTAAACTGAGAAGTTTGAATCCTGTTATTTGTGAGCAGTTCAAGTGTAGCTTGCAGGCCAAGGCTGTGTCTTTTGCCCACCTTGACATGGGGCTGTTCTGGCATCAGTTCTGAGAAGTCCAAAGTCCTTGGTATCAAAGGATATGAGGTATCTGGACGTTTTGAATGCCAGGGATTCCACAACTTGGATGCCATTAATGTGCCTACCCAGCAGAGCAGTGGCACCCCAGTGGAGTTGTGATTTTCTTGTCTCTATATAGTTCTTGGTACTTGGCTCATAAAGCCAGGAAATATCACCTTTCCTTTTCAGTGATGCACTGGAGAAAGTTGCCTTTTTTTGGTGCATTGATTAGTTGGTTGATTTGTTTGTTTTTGTTGTGTTTTCTTTTTATATACATTTCCTCTGAATTTAATTCCATTTCTCTAAGAGAGTAGACTAGAGAGGAGAGATAACATTTGAGGTGGGAGCAGACTGTTCAGTAGCTAATAAAGAGTACGTTGTGAGACTTCAGTCTTACTCAGAAAGTCTGGAGAATGCAGAGTTTAACATAGTCCTGATAGGCGTGTCCTTTTTAAGGATATTAACTGATACTTTCAATGTGTTAATATTATTAGCTTCTCCGTATGAATATGCCCAGGTGAAATCCTTTTTCTGCAGGATCAGGTAAGTGCATTATTATAGTTTTATTTTTGTGAAGGCTGACAAGGGGTACAGTGCTAGCAGGAGCTGTTCTGTTGTTACAACTGCCCAGTGTGAGCTCATGAAACTCCATTATAAAATGGGGTTTATGT